GTGGTAGCGGTGCTTCCGCTCAAAAATATTTTAGCCCCATTTTAGCATTAATAATCACTTGGTTGATAATTGTGGAACTGCAGTCAAGACAATGCAACACATTGTGGTATAAATCGGAAAACTCTGTGTCAATGTTATCTGTGGTGAAATTAGATTCCCATGGTAAGCATCGAATAAGATTTTCAGTGCACTTTCGGGTTTGTTGAACAAACTGCCTGCTCTGGCACATTGTCGCAGCTGTAAGGTCCGATGGTACGGCTTGGAGAAAGAATAATACTCAAAACGATCGTAAGGCTGACACAACAACTTGTCAGGATATTGGTGAGAATTCTTTGCGACCAATTATAGATAAGCAGTATCGATATATTCAGTGAGTAACCTGTCTACTTCAAGCGGAATTCGACTAAGTACATATAGCTACGTAGAATAGTCTAATGCGACTTTAAAGAAAGAAAAAGGAAACGAAACTCAAGAAACCAGCACATTGATTCCTCTATTAGATATTTCAGAGAAATTCAACCACGACGTTCTAGTAAGCACTGCCACTTTACGGAAGTGATCCTTCTGATCTTAGCTGTGTGGTTGTATAGACCTCTTGATGTATGATCAGGTCATCTTACAATGATTTTACTCCTAAAGACACTACCTCACATCAATATGCTATGCTATTCGATGAACCAACCTTAACATGTGTTGTGAAAATGAGAGGCCGAATCTGACTTTATTAGGTATGGCACTCAACGTTGAGGTAGAATCACAGGATCGCGTCGAATTAACTCCGAAGTATACCACTTTCATCTACAAATCTCAAGTAATACGAATTTGTTTGCTTTGACTAGCTGCATTCATATCATTTATCAATCAATAGCATGTTCTATCTAGCTTCTTTTGCCTCGCAATACTATCCACATTTTCTTTTTAAAAATAATAAACACATCTGGACTACGCAATTAGCCAGAAAGAGGTTAGTACGGATAACGTACTATCGTGTCATAGTAGTAGTAATGTTTCCAAAACTGGCCTTATTTATACGTTGTTTAGTCAGTCAGTCAGTCAGTAACAACGTAGAACTTCGTACGTACGTACATCAGTTCGAGTTGCCACACCACATTAACACAGAGATGCACTTGTCGATTCAAATCCCGTAGTGGTAGAGGTAATAAGAGTATAAGCAGCAATCGGGAAGATTAGGGTTTGGAGATGTTATTTAAAGAATATAATCCAGTGAAATAAATTTGGAAAGAGGAAAAAAGGGACATGAAGGATTTAGAAGATTAGAATTTGGGAGAACACAGAGAGTGGATGCACCCGCGCGATTGCAAACGATTTTGAGCCACCACTGTTCGCGATCATTGCGTAGACTTCTTGTCAGCTTGCGCTTAAGCTGACTCCGCTCTTCATTATGTTCAGAGCCAGGTGGAATGAGTTTCCGAGCATCTATCAGTGCGATAGATGCTGCTGAGATCCAGTGTTGCTCCCTAACCTTCTGGTTTACCTTACTAGCAGATATCACTGCTGTTTCCACAGCTTTTCGGATATCATTCCATGCTGCATCGGGGTGGGCATCACATACATGGCTGCCTAACTGTTTTCCTAGTTGTTCCTGAAATATACTCTTAGCTTGACTATCATTAAGTAGGCCCTAAGAGGTTTCCTTGCAGCGTCTTTCCTACGTCCAGTAAGACGCAAGCAAATACGCGCTCGCACTAGAGCATGATCTGAATCTAGGCATGTGCTCCAGAATGAGCGACAGTCTTCTATCGAGCCCCTCCATCGGTGGCTGATAGCGATGTGATCTATTTGGGTCCAACGTTGGGACGAATTAGGGGGTCGCCATGTTAAAAGATGTTTTTCCTTATGCTTAAAGTTAGTATTTGCAAGGAACAGGCGGTTATCTGAGCATAGCTGCAACAGACGGTCGCCATTATCTGTTCTTTGAGCCACGACACCATAAGATCCACCTAGGTGTCTTTCCCTATCGCTTAGTTTACCTACTTGAGCATTAAAGTCACCGGCCACTATTACTACATCCGAGCGCTTAGCTTTTCGGAGAAGGTCCGAAAGCTTTCTGTAAAACTCATCTTTTACATCATCTGAGCTGCAGTCAGTGGGAGAATAGGCAGAGACGACGAAGAGGCAACGACGAGTGTCCCTATCTTTCCGGATTCTTACTGTTCCGTTCAGTCGGACAGCGCACAAACGACTGTCTACTGGGATCCACTCTAAGAGAGCTAGTTCTGCCCTAGGACTCAATGCTATACCTACGCCGGCGAGGCCACGGGAAGCAGAATCAGGGCTTCCAGATACACGAAGCGTAAATCGAGTCGGTTCTTTATTTTGGCATGGTGAGGTCAAATGAATGACGCTACTTGGATCCTGTATGCGCGTTTCGGAGACGCAGCACACATCGATGGCGCGAGATTCTAAAGTTTTAGCTAAGGAAGCCTGCTGTCCTATTTGGCAAAGTGTTCGTACGTTAAAAGCTCCTACGTGTAGTTTAGAGCGTGGTTTCAGGAGACCAGGAATGGCGTTCCACGTACTCGAATCGTTTGCCCTAGCGGTGCGAGGTGATAAAAAGACGTGAGGAGGGTTAGTCATGGAGATAAGAGAGGTATTAGGAGGTGTAGGAAGGATTTGAATGTGACCACCTTGGTCTCTTGTGCTGTTACGGGTATGAGGGCTGATGTCACTTCCCGGCTGCCCACACCGTGGAAGGGTATTTCTTGAGGAACCTGAAAAGGAAATTGGATTAGTGTTGGTCTTGACGACCTGGGAGCGTGACCGCAGAGCCCAAGGGACAACTGCTTGAGGCCGGTCGCGCACGGCCTTTTTGTGGAAGGTTTTTGACGTGTTAGCTCCGTTCTTCAAAGGGCCTTACCGCCGGAGACGGAAATCCGTGAGGTAAGGTGAGGTGTGACATTTTTAGGGTCGACCTTTTCTAACCCCACCCCTCCTTGTGGGAAGGCAGCATCGCTGTCATGCTGGTTGTCCGAGGGAAACACCTTACTGCTGTCACACCTCTCTACAGTCAGCAGTACGACTTCGCCCTCAGACCTTGAGTTGCTGCTTTTAGTCTTACCGTTCACCAATCGACCTGCCTGGCATGGTAGAACCTGCAGGAACATATGTTCCAGCCAATATAGCTCGGTTGGGTCATCACGATAGGCAAGCCCGACCACCACGTCAAGGTAGCAGCTTCGATCTACCGGATTTCTAGAGATCATACTTTCCTGATTATCATGAATGATACGGGTTTTTTTCATAATGTGAGGTATATCGAACTTTTTTCCATTTGTGATTTCGCTGTACTATCATCACATCAATGCATTTTTTCCTTTCATTTATCCAGTTTTGAAGCTCTAATTAGTACCGATACAAACAAAAATAGCTAGTAGTCGTTGTTCGGGCTGAAAACGTTTCTATTCAGTGGTTTGGTTTTTACAAATAGAAGTAAATTTTATTCACTAAATAAAGGCAAGCTCGACCACCGCGTCAAGGTAGCAGTTTCGATCGGGTATAGGGTGTTTAACATTAAGTTCGATGAACTGTAATATACTAAGGACCTGAGCCACACTTCTATCTCTTCAGTAATCGAATTAGTCTTGGGCAATTTTTATACTTTGACCTGCAAGTTAAAATGTTGACTACAATTTCTACCACAAATTTACTTTTTCATACACAAAGCGACTAGCATATTTCTGAACATAAGTAGACTATCTGGAAATACAATAATTTCCCTTACATTATTAGTTTTTCCGTCTTTTGTTTCAACAAGTTGCCTGTCATACCGAATCAATGGGAAGCAGCCATAGCGTTGAAATAGTTTCATCGGCGGTTATAGACCAATCCACTATCCGTTTCCTGTAGTCTCATGGTTAAGCTTTTTCCTGAAGTGTTTTGCAGAAACTACACTAATCACAGATATCCAGTACGTGGTAGTATTTTCCAAAGATCATCAACAGCCGCAACAAGACCATAACTTTTATCAAAAGTGCATTTTCGTATAATTAAAACACTTCTATGATAACTATCGGCTCTTAAGCTAATGTGTACAGTAAACGTATTTAGTTATGTAATTTGAATGCACCGAACTATCTAAACAAATCTACTCTTACAGTGTTTATTGAGACAAAGCAGAATATATCTATATTATGCTTGATATAAGTCGAGTGAGTCACATCTCTGTAAACAGCTATATTTAAAATGGAAAACAAGAGTAACGGCTGTAACTCCGATTTTTGAGAAAACGATGAGTTAGCAAAAATAGAATCAAACATTCGAAAAGTTTAAATACTGAAAATAGTTATCGACCTGGACAGGTTAACACAAATTATATAGTACATAACAAATATGATCATACAGAGAAATAGTAGGACCCTTGTTTACACACACATGTAACAATTCTACGGTCAGAGCATTTAATACATCTTGCTGACTTTCTTTACACAGAAGGAAAGTAACAAACAAGCGAACAAGTTATAAGAAGCTTAAAAAGAAAAAACGATGAAAGTAATTGAGAAAGAAAAACATGGTAGTACAGTGCATCCATTTTAATAAAAGTTTCAAAATAAAAATAAAACTAGAGAAGCAAACAATAAATAACAGAATTGAATGTTAGAAGTGAAATATAACAGAAAAAACGCGTGATGAATAGAGAACCAAAAGGGGGATAATATCGTTTGCATTATGATTATTATGGAATGAATATGTAATCAATCCAAGCACCATTTAAGAAATTATATATAGAAGAGAGAGGATGTGTAAAACCACTAGAGAAATGTGCAGTCAAAATCGTCCATGAAACTGGTTTTGAAAGAAACACAAATAAGTGCGGAGAAAAAAGACAATGAAATGTAAAAAAAAGATATTAAAGGGAAAAAGATCTTAAAAATACATATTATCTCCACTTTGAGCAAAACAAATATTATTGTCAAGCTTTACATAAATTGTGATAAACCGGAAAAAAACTGTAATTTCTAAAAATCATATGAAGTTATAAACTATGGACTGGGGAAATATTCAATTACAGGGATTGAAGAATTAGTTGTAGTATCATGGACTATCTGAGGAGTATCGGTTATTGCGTTGTTGCACGAAACTGGATTAACAACTATATCCGGTGAACATGCTAAATTCGTGATTTTGGAGATGGCTTGTGGTTCAGTGGGAGAACTATTTTGATTGAGTGATTGATGTAGGCGTTGAATTAAAGGATGTCTATAAATCCAGTTTTCTCCCTCTTCACGAAAGTATTTTGGTGTCCAGGTATGTTTTGAGTCTCTTCTCTGTCGAGCTAAATCTCGTTGTCGCTGTTCCAAACGATGTTTAGCATCTGATGCTGCATCGATATTACCCACTTTTAAATTATATGTCACTTCCTCCCACAATCTACACATATGTTGAAAAGAATTTAGGAAATGTACATTGAATAAAGTAATTCCTCCCAACCTACTGTATTGAATACTTTATGATTCATTACAAAAAAGCAAAGTAATATAAAAAAGCTTCTTGACTAACTTATGAAATTTCATCCGGGTAGTCGTGTACTTATGTATAGGTAACGGAATCAATCATAACAGAAGATAACTAAACATATAAAAGACATTTGTGTAGCTGAACTCATTGATTTCATAATTTTGATAGACTAACTATTCGTTTACTGATTAACGTCGTCATTTACAGAAAATCGCTAATCCACTCATATTGTTAGTTTATACATGACAACATGTAACTAGATGACCGAAATCCTATCAAATATTATTTATTGTCTTCATTTCTCAACAAACTGTATGCTGAATGAAAAATATGTTTACACGTTTCAAAGAAACCTTACTTTATGTTATGATGAAGTTCTGATATAAAAGATTAAACGCTTTTATACTGAAGTCATTAATAACAAATTCTGTCGTGAACGGCAGGAACGCTTCCACGATCTCAATAGTCAAGGTTTAAAAGAAAAAGCAACAAATCATAGAACCGACTAGAAGAAACTAAAGATAGCACAAAGCCCTTCGATTATCTCTTTGAGTTGATTGAGTATCGAAAAAATCTTGAAAATAAGATACAACTAAATAATGATGAATGATAAGAATCAGATAATAACATCATCCGTCAGAATACGTAGGTTACAAGTTGACACACTATAAAACACTAGTGAATGTAATAACAAAATAAGCAAGCAGAAAGAGTTAAGAAGATGAATAATAAGTGTAAGGTAAGACTTTATGTTGAACTTTTGTTTGAGAAGTGTTAATGTGTAAACTGTTCATAAGTTAGCCAGATAATAACTAACTGTAATTGTTATATCCCGATAAGAATAATGCATGGTAATTTTTGGGATCCATCTATGGATCAATACTATGTGTATTTTATCGTGTAATTGTTATGTAACTAGACTGTTCATATTCATGTCCATCTTATTATGAGTTTTATTTTGACCTATGAACTATTATTATACGATTTACCATTCTCGAATTATTCCCTGTATGTTAATCACTACCTCCCTCATTAACAGCCACTTTTGGCCAAATATTGTACAAATGTTATTTTCTATTTTATGGTACGTTGTGGTTTGTTTGATTGGTATATGAACTCAGTATGTTTGAAATAAATGATTCATATTGCAGAGGCTGAGATTGGCGTTCTGGACTCAACTGGCTGGGCTAGGCGGAAAGCAGGACCAATCAGCATCCTAGGCTGCTCGCACGTGTCTTATGAGTCAGTTGTCCGGTCGGTAGTTCACTGCTCCCTGATTGTCGGAATCGCTGTGTTGTACAATAAACAGGGCACACAGGTTCACAAGTTATAACAGTAATCAACTGAGAAATTTTTAGAATGACGAAGAACAGTTAGGTGAATTATGATAAATTAAATGAAGAATAGTTTCCATAACATATGTTTCCCAGTTTTATAAAATAGGAAAGTTTAAAATTATTCAGACGACAATGAACGTGGTTGAGCACTACATTAGAAACTATTTTATTAATATGTTTTCCAGAGACAGTATTTAATCTCCATATTCTAACTTACTTTACGAACGGCAAAAAGTAAATGCAGGTTATGCGAAATTCCCTACTAATCCTATATATATATATATATATATATATATATACATCAATTACCACAATAGATAAACTAACAAACGAAATCACATTAACGTACCGTCTTGATTCATTTTCTTCTTGGCGAGATCGTGGAAGGACATGTTTTCTTACAGTTGGTAGGTTACGGGTATCAATGAATAACTCATTTTTCTACAATATTAAAAAAATTCCTAAAAGACATCTGAATTTTATGTATGTGTTGGATATTCAGGAAAATATCCCAAAAATTATCCTGTTAAGCCTAATGTTATCTTTGGACATGAAATGGTATCATCTTATTGGTCAATATTTGTTTAACGTGTCATTTTCCTACTGGCCATTATTGTACAATGTTATTTTCTATTTTATGGACGTTGTGGTCTGCTTGACTGGTATATAAACAAAGTATGTTTGAAATATAAGGATTCATAACCCAGAGGCTGTGACTTGTGTTCTGGACTCAACTGGCTGGGTTAGATAGGGAAGCGAGACCAATCAGAACCCTAGGCTGTTCTACGTGTTTGCGCGTCTTTGGTCCGATCAATAATTCGCTACCCTTAATCAGCAGCATCATTTTCACGTTATAACAATATGATTATAAATGACCTATGACAAAAAGTACAGATAGGTCTATTACAAAATAATAACTACAGCTAAAATCCTCATCGAACCACGTGACCAGAAAAATTGAGTAGTATAACACCGAAAACAATCGAATTAATGACTTCACTCGCTTCTAAATACTAACTTTAACAAGTTAAATACACTTAAGCCTGACTGATTTTATACTTCTAGAATGCCTATACAATCAATTAAGAACCTCCCAACCGTTGTTGCTATTTTGACATGGTGGTCGTGCTTGCTTATCGTGATGAACAAGATGGGTTATACTGGCTGGAGCAATCGTTCATCAAGGTCCTACCATGCCAGACAGGTCTGTTGAAGAACGGTAAGACTAAAAGCAGCAAACCCAAGGTCCGAAGGCGAAGTCGTACTGCTGACTGTACAGAGGTGTGACAGCAGTAAGGTGTTTCCTTCAGACAACCAGCATGACAGCGACGCTGTCTTCCCACGAGGAGGAGTGGGGTAAGAGAAGGTAGACCCTAAAAATGCACACCTCGCCTTATCCCACGGATATCCGTCTCCGGCGGTAAGGTCTCGACAAGTACGGAGCTAACACGAAAATTACTCGAAAAAAGGTCGTGTGTGACTGACCTCAAGCAATTGTCCCTTGGGCATTGTGGTCACGCTCTCAGGTAATTAAGACCACCTCTAATCCAATTTCCTTTTCAGGTACCTCCAGAACAACCCTTCCACGGTGTGGGCAACCGGGAAGTGATAACCACCCTCATACCTCTAACAGCACTCAAGACCACTGTATTCATAATCAACCTCCCTCTTCAGTTCCTATTATTCCTCCTACATCGACTTTCAACTATAAACTTCCTCTTTTGGCTTCCTCCTCAAGTGTCACCATGGCCAGCGGTTCTAGTGCTCAAAACACTGTCCCAGGTCTACTGAAACCTCGCTCCAAACTACACATTGGAGCCTTCAACGTACACACCCTATGTCAAATCGGTCAGCAGGCTTCCTTGGCTAAAATCCGAGAATCTCGTACCATTGATGTATGCTGTGTCTCCGAAACACATACACAGGATTCTAGTGTGGTCATTCACTTGACCTCACATCGGCAAAACGGAGAGCCGACGAGATACACCGTACCTGTATCTGGCAACCCGTAGGCTAGTTATCGTGGACTGGCGGGTGTCTGCATAGCACTCGAAAGGGTAGCGACACCTCTTGTTGCCTTTTTGTCGTTTCTGCCTACGCTCCCACTGACTGCAGCTCAGATGATGTGAAAGATGAATTTTACAGAAAGCTCTCTGAACTTCTTCAGCAAGCAGCTAAACGTTCAGACATAGTACTTGTAGTAGGTGACTTTAATGCTCAGATAGGTAGCTCAAACCAAACAGAAAAACATTTAGTAGGTATTTTGGTATTCCGGCACAGCGAACAGATAATGGTGATCGTCTGCTGCAACTATGATCAGACAATCGTTTATTTTTAGCAAACACAAATTTTAAGCATAAGGAGAGACATCTTCTAACATGGCGACCACCTGCACCAAACCAAAAATTGACTCAAATAGACCATATTGCCACCAGTCATCGTTGGAGTGGGTTGATAGAAGATTGTCACTCATTCTGGAATACCTGCTTGGACTCCAACCATGCTCTATTATAGGCACGCATCTGCAAGCGCTTTACTGTATGCAAAAAAGCCACACTAAAAAGACGAAATAGAACTGAATTGAGTAATGAGAAAACAAAAATTAAGTTCCAGGAACAACTGAGGTCACACTTAAGTAGTTCCGCAAACGAAACTGACCCACATGTTGCTTGGAATGATATACAAGCAGCTGTGGAAACAGCAGTGACATCGATTAGTGATTTAAAACACAGGGTTACAAAGAACCAATGGATTCCTTCAAGGTCTATTGCACTGATGGATTCTCGTAAACTCATCCCATCAGGCTCTGAACACGATGATGAGCGTAAACAAATCAAATCTAGGTTAAGCAAAAGTCAAAGGAACGACCATGAGCAGTGGTGGGCAACGAAAGCAAAAGAGATGGAAAAGGTGGAGGCTATAGGGAACACAAGACAGCTCTACAGACTAATACAAGAAACTGGAATAAATAAGTCAAGTGTAAGTGACAACATCTCGGAAAAAGACGACACATATCTGCTCCTAGTAAAGACGTTTAGAACGATGGGCCGAACATTTTAGAGAACAGTTCAGCTGGCCTTCAGCCACTCTACAACAACCCACAATTCCCAGACAACTTTGAAGTAGGTCCGCCGACGCTAGCTGAAGTTCAGAAACCTATAGCTAATCTGAAACGAGGAAGAGCAGCTGGTCCAGATGGATCGGCTGGAGGTCGATAAGGAAGGTGGTCCAATTTTAGCGATTAGGTTGACTAATATTTTAGCTAAAAGCTGCGAGTTGGACGTAATCCCATCTGACTGGTCACCATAACTGATTGTCCCAATATAAAAGAACGGGTCAAAATCATCCTGTGATAATCATAGAGAGATTAGTTTAACTAACATAGCATCTAAAATACTAGCCTCAATAACTATCGTGCCCCTAACGTAGACTCGTGAACTGAAAACACGAGAGAATCAAGCTGGCTTCAGACCTGATCGTGGCTGCATCGACCACATATTCACCATTCGTCAGATTCCATAACACAGGCATACTTACCGGCGTCCGACAATCATGGTCTTTCTTGACTTAAAAGTAGCATTTAATTCCGTAGACCGCGAGATTCTATGGCAGTGTCAGTCATTGAAGTGCGTACCTCAGAAGTACATAAACCTCGTGAAGGTTCTTTACTAGAACACCACTAGTCGAGTCAGAGCTTATAGCGAGATGTCATCTGTCTTTGCAACTTCAAGTGGTGTCCGTCAAGGCTGTCGACTTTCTCCATTTTTGTTTAACTTCATCATAGACCTACGTTCTCGTCCACTGAATTCTTGGGCATTGATCTCATTCCAGAAGGTCCACTTATCGAGTTAGAATACGCAGACGACATAGTCCTATTGGGTGGAGTAGCTGATAAAATACAGAGTCTTTTGGTAGCACTGAGCGACAATGCCAGAATGTTTGGAATGCGCTTCTCTTCCTCCAAATGCAAGTTGTTGCTTTAAGACTGGTCTGCGTCAACACCTGAACTAAGCATAGTGAGTGAAGTAGTCGAACGCGCTGACCACTTCACTTATCTTGGAAGACTGATCAGCTTTAATGGGTTGGTGTCTGACGAAAGCTTTGCATGGATTCAGAAAGCTCGTTTGACTTTATCCAACTTACGTCACCTATGGGATATCGGTCTGTCAAATAAAAGACGAGTATACTGTGAGGCAGTTCTGTTCTATATTACGGATGCGAAACGTGGCCATTAATAGTTGAAAATACTCGTAAGCTACAAGTATTTGACGACAGATGCCTTAGAAATATTGCTTTCATCTGCTGGGATCATCGGGTAAGTAATAGTGGGTTAGACTCAGGGTATTAGGGAATGATGGTAAATCAGTTGATGAGGTTGTGAATCTTCATCGACTGAGATGGTTGGATCATGTGTTACGTATGCCTGAACACCGATTACTAGTGTGCGCAATGCTGACTAATGTTGGAGACGGATGGAAGAAAGTGAGGGGCGGCCAATCCAAAACGTGACATAGTCCATAAAATCAACAAGTGCTGGTTTGAGCCGTGTTGATAGATGCAGACTACTTGGTTGGGGTCCGCGCGACTATCGTAGCCAGTGGTTGGAGACTCTGGGTGACATGGCTCAGAATCGATCACAATGGCGTAGGTGTATACACTCTCTGTCTTCCCTTAAACTAAGAGATCAAAATTCGCTTCATATCTTTCTTTCTACAAACTAATTCTTTCTTCCTGTACTATATCCTTACATGCAATCTTTCTTTTATATATTACCACCATTGAATTAACAACTTATATGAATCCGGTGTTCATCTTGCTGTGCTAACGCCGTATTGCAACTTGGACTGATGCATATATATGCCTAGTCCTACGTTGTAGCTGACTGACTGAATTAAGAGCCTTCCTCATAAGGTTACTGAACCTTCCATTTATGATTTATCTATGTTTGAAATTATTCCATAGTAAGAGCGAACCTTTTGTCGCTTACTTACTAACATCCACTGAAACAATACAACTGCAGGTTCGATGAAATCAGCCAACCATTGATCACAGTATAGTGCATTAAACTCAAATAATAAAAAAGGTGAGAGAACAACTTGGAAAACTGCTTTTTGTTTTTTTCCTTTCACATACACCATGAGGCCACTTCGCTAGCATCTTATCATTCCATTCACCTTCAACAATAAGAAATGCCTTCTTATCATTAGGTCCAAAACCTCAGCACGTAAAGTATCTCGTTTACCACCATAAAAAGGTTTTGTTCGAAACTCGATATTAGCTATATAGCCAGTTTTTAAGCATGTGATGCTAGTTTTCCCACCCAATTCAATCCATGGAACAGTTAGAATGTTTCTGTGATAAAATGTAAACGAGCATAACAATATACACGATTATTCGTGCACAAATGTGAAAATAAATAAGAATTAAAAACAGGAATGTTAAACTTAAAACATGAAATTTATCCTTTATAACTAGTATTAAAATAAAACAGGCAACAATTGGTTGGAATAGTAGTTGAAATAGGAAATGACTTACTATTTGCTAATTGATGAGATGTATGACAAGACTCCATAACAGGTATATTTGAGGGGAAAATAAGTGCATTCTTCAACAACAACTTTTAATAGACCAGATCTATACATATACGTTTTTATTTAATCGTCGGAATCTAATTATCATCAGTTGTATCATGAGCTTCGTAAGCTGATAAATAATTTTTAGTCTTGATTGCATATCTCATATTTAGATGATAGTGTGGTGCATGCTACTTATATTGATATAAGTAGTAGATAACGTGAGTTAAAAGAACGTAATGTCTGGCAGCAGAAGATGGGGAAGATCAAGAAAGGAAGAGCGAGAACATAATGGAATTTGTAAGAAATCGCATGAATAATGAAATGTGAGACAATGGATTGATGTTTGCAACAGCAACAGTCCGGTTTGATATGATGGAATGATATTTTGCAAATTAACGATTTACTATATGGTTTTTCTATTTTACCAAGTAACTCTATAATTTTGTGCTTAATACACTTTGATTGTCCTCACCTGTGTTCTCCTTCACTACAATAGTTCCAATTCATTATTATTACCAAACAAGTCAACTAACCAGCAAATTTTTTTGTATTTCACTGAGTTTTATAAACCAATTATCTACTTTGAATAGTTCAGTTTACAATTTATTATTAGATAGCTTTGATAAAACTAAATATTTTAACTCCTTTACAAAAACTATTTCAAAGAGTAATCTAGCAAAAATTAACTGTTACTATGACTACTGTAAAGTTACTTGGATCTGTGCACATATGTGCCAGGTCTTAAATTATTTATGACTAGCTAGCTTAAAACTATAACAAAAAGTGAAAGACTTGTCCTTTGAAAAGAGATGAAAATGAAGAAGTGTATATATAATACAGAGAAACGGTACTAAAGCAAGTATTTACTTTGATCTATCTACGTACAATAGGAGCTTGTGTCACATGATTTGTTTACTAAATTCATACAATCAATCATATAACCTAATTAAAGGAAATTTCGTGCTAACATTTCAAAATAAAACAAATTGTGTTCTATATTTAGAAAATCATACGATACTTAGCTTCTGGACTTTAGTTTCATGAAGTGACACACCAAAGAAAAAAGTTAGATCAGAAATATACGGGATATTTATAATGGATGCTAATGATTCCTAACTGCGCTTTAACAGTCCGTTGTTAGCTGCTAAAGATACATTTTTAGTGTATTAGTCTGATACATCATTGCCTGGTAAACGGTAAAAATGTCAAAAAAGAACACTTCAAATTAGCTAAACAACATTACTCGATTCTACATTATAAAAAACCCATTAATTCACAAGTTTTCGATAGGATTACGTATTCTGAAATGAAATAAATCATTTCTTTTCAGACAAGCAGCAAGTAAAATAAAAAACAACCCAAAAATGGATTGATTAACCCAATCCACGCTATAATGTAAATAATCACTCAGAAATGTATACCAACCTGCCATATCCACATGGAAACGTGACCACATATTCTTCATCATGATTTAGTAATGATATGACAGCTGAACCAACCATTTCTACAGCTATACTTAGACCAAGAAATTTTGATTTAGTCCACAAGTGTCCATCTACAGCTATTTGATTATTAACATGTTCAGCATAAAAGGCGGATATAGGAGGATGGTGTGAGACCTAGTGGCAGAAATCAAAAAAATAAATAAATAAATAAATAAATAAACATTTTAGAAATACGATCATATCACATGTTTGATGATCAGTATCGCTGATAAAAATGAAATATGTACTGAACATGCTTACAGGATACTAGAATTTCAATAAATGTCATATTAACGATATGTTTATTCAGATAACATGTACGAGACACATAATATTGTGACTGATTCATGAACGATCTAGTAACGACGCTATAAGCTTCCACATAAACCACTACAACAACTAACTGGTAGTTATAACTTATAAAATCTGTAGAATTTAACATTCTGAATATGAAAAATAAGTACCCTATGTTGAAGGTGAAGTTGTATGTAGTATATGCCCTTTTATTTCCTCAAAGCAACAAATACATATTTTGGTTTGTCTACAGTGACTGGTCTCATATAACTGAAAACTGAGTTAACGCTTTCGTAAACCTTTGTTTAGTGAATAAAATTTACTTCTATTTGTAAAAACCAAACCACTGAATAGAAACGTTTTCAGCCCGAACAACGACTACTAGCTATTTTTGTTTGTATCGGTACTAATTAGAGCTTCAAAACTGGATAAATGAAAGGAAAAAATGCATTGATGTGATGATAGTACAGCGAAATCACAAATGGAAAAAAGTTCGATATACCTCACATTATGAAAAAAACCCGTATCATTCATGATAATCAGGAAAGTATGATCTCTAGAAATCCGGTAGATCGAAGCTGCTACCTTGACGCGGTGGTCGGGCTTGCCTATCGTGATGACCCAACCGAGCTATATTGGCTGGAACATATGTTCCTGCAGGTTCTACCATGCCAGGCAGGTCGATTGGTGAACGGTAAGACTAAAAGCAGCAACTCAAGGTCTGAGGGCGAAGTCGTACTGCTGACTGTAGAGGGGTGTGACAGCAGTAAGGTGTTTCCCTCGGACAACCAGCATGACAGCGATGCTGCCTTCCCACAAGGAGGGGTGGGGTTAGAAAAGGTCGACCCTAAAAATGTCACACCTCACCTTACCTCACGGATTTCCGTCTCCGGCGGTAAGGCCCTTTGAAGAACGGAGCTAACACGTCAAAAACCTTCCACAAAAAGGCCGTGCGCGACCGGCCTCAAGCAGTTGTCCCTTGGGCTCTGCGGTCACGCTCCCAGGTCGTCAAGACCAACACTAATCCAATTTCCTTTTCAGGTTCCTCAAGAAATACCCTTCCACGGTGTGGGCAGCCGGGAAGTGACATCAGCCCTCATACCCGTAACAGCACAAGAGACCAAGGTGGTCACATTCAAATCCTTCCTACACCTCCTAATACCTCTCTTATCTCCATGACTAACCCTCCTCACGTCTCTTTATCACCTCGCACCGCTAGGGCAAACGATTCGAGTACGTGGAACGCCATTCCTGGTCTCCTGAAACCACGCTCTAAACTACACGTAGGAGCTTTTAACGTACGAACACTTTGCCAAATAGGACAGCAGGCTTCCTTAGCTAAAACTTTAGAATCTCGCGCCATCGATGTGTGCTGCGTCTCCGAAACGCGCATACAGGATCCAAGTAGCGTCATTCATTTGACCTCACCATGCCAAAATAAAGAACCGACTCGATTTACGCTTCGTGTATCTGGAAGCCCTGATTCTGCTTCCCGTGGCCTCGCCGGCGTAGGTATAGCATTGAGTCCTAGGGCAGAACTAGCTCTCTTAGAGTGGATCCCAGTAGACAGTCGTTTGTGCGCTGTCCGACTGAACGGAACAGTAAGAATCCGGAAAGATAGGGACACTCGTCGTTGCCTCTTCGTCGTCTCTGCCTATTCTCCCACTGACTGCAGCTCAGATGATGTAAAAGATGAGTTTTACAGAAAGCTTTCGGACCTTCTCCGAAAAGCTAAGCGCTCGGATGTAGTAATAGTGGCCGGTGACTTTAATGCTCAAGTAGGTAAACTAAGCGATAGGGAAAGACACCTAGGTGGATCTTATGGTGTCGTGGCTCAAAGAACAGATAATGGCGACCGTCTGTTGCAGCTATGCTCAGATAACCGCCTGTTCCTTGCAAATACTAACTTTAAGCATAAGGAAAAACATCTTTTAACATGGCGACCCCCTAATTCGTCCCAACGTTGGACCCAAATAGATCACATCGCTATCAGCCACCGATGGAGGGGCTCGATAGAAGACTGTCGCTCATTCTGGAGCACATGCCTAGATTCAGATCATGCTCTAGTGCGAGCGCGTATTTGCTTGCGTCTTACTGGACGTAGGAAAGACGCTGCAAGGAAACCTCTTAGGGCCTACTTAATGATAGTCAAGCTAAGAGTATATTTCAGGAACAACTAGGAAAACAGTTAGGCAGCCATGTATGTGATGCCCACCCCGATGCAGCATGGAATGATATCCGAAAAGCTGTGGAAACAGCAGTGATATCTGCTAGTAAGGTAAACCAGAAGGTTAGGGAGCAACACTGGATCTCAGCAGCATCTATCGCACTGATAGATGCTCGGAAACTCATTCCACCTGGCTCTGAACATAATGAAGAGCGGAGTCAGCTTAAGCGCAAGCTGACAAGAAGTCTGCGCAATGATCGCGAACAGTGGTGGCTCAAAATCGTTTGCAATCGCGCGGGTGCATCCACTCTCTGTGTTCTCCCAAATTCTAATCTTCTAAATCCTTCATGTCCCTTTTTTCCTCTTTCCAAATTTATTTCACTGGATTATATTCTTTAAATAACATCTCCAAACCCTAATCTTCCCGATTGCTGCTTATACTCTTATTACCTCTACCACTACGGGATTTGAATCGACAAGTGCATCTCTGTGTTAATGTGGTGTGGCAACTCGAACTGATGTACGTACGTACGAAGTTCTACGTTGTTACTGACTGACTGACTGATCATATAATAGAGAGAATTAAAAAACACATATGAAGACAACTCAAATCTCTATGTCTATTTAGTAAAGCTTTAGACAACAATAGGATCCACAACAGAAGATATGACGACAGTAGAGACTTACCTGTTCTGCTAAGAAGACTACGGAATTGTGAGGCGCCCAAGGGACAGGACCAGAATTATATAATTTGTCCTGTGGTTTTTCTGATGCATTTATCGAATCATCTCCACTCTCTGTAGATAAAGGCCAATAACAGCGAAATATTTCACCTAATGTAGGATTGTAAGGTTTCTTAGCAACTGACGATCGTCTGCCAGCATGGAATGCAGACAAATACCATCGAAGACAAGCAACCATACGATCACGAGGGGTTGATGCATTAGGAATAACAGCCCATAAATCAGCATGTGCTAAAAAGTCTGCATACATTTCCAGTGTAGAACGACGTTCGAGAATGAATGTGGGCAAAGTGATTCTAGTTAAATCCATTCCGATCCGAAGCTGAGAAAGAAGATGTGTTATCACAGAACCGTGAGATTGCACAGAACCTACTTAATAAACAACAAAATACAGAAGTGAGAATAAGTAAACTTAAGAAATACTGGTTGTTTTAAATTTTGACAAAATCTACAAAAGTACTCATAGTTTAACTTTAACAAAGAAAATAGATTCCTTAGAAATATACTTCTCACTGTGATAGAAAATAGGCGATCGTAATAACAAGTGTGAAGCATGAAGGCCGTGCTCTTTAGTAGAACTAAGAAAAGGACCACATATCGAACAATAAGCTTAATTAACTACATCATAACCAGAAAACTATTATATGTAAAAATTATATTTCAACAATAAGTATTTCAGTATGAAGAACAAAAACAAAATTCATTCAATTATTAAATAAACCAATATCCCACTCAAACAATCAAATCCAAACACTGACAATCCAACTATAGTGATATTAAAGCCATTACTGAAGCATCCAAAAAACAACTGACATAGCAGTCACATTAAAAACAACAACTTCCAATCAAATACCTGAATTCCGCAGCTAAAAGAAGAAATAGTACAAACCAGTACGTGCATATCAACCAAAATGACATATGACTGCAACTGAACAGTAACGCAAAGAGCCCTTCAACTTCTTGTATTCTGTAGCTAACAAGCAAAATAAGACTCCCAACCAAATAATACAATAGTCTCTCACAGCTTTCTACTTTAGAGATTAGGATTGATACCAAATGCCCAGTGGGGAGAACTACGTTTATAAGTCGTCAACTGAAATTGGTAAATATCAAGTAGTTTATCTTATAATTTATACTGCAGAAGATATATTTAAAAAATTGGTTGACACGAAATCAAATATCGTGACGTAAAAGACTTGTATTTATGGCTAGATTATAAACATTTTAGGTTTGAATCTTCAAGTATGAATTTACGTAACAACGAATTACAGCAAGTTTAATTTTTTTTGGTGGAGTTTTTTTCTCAGGACCCTCCTGAATATTAGTAAGATCTTCTTTATGAGTGTAAAACAAGCATCAATAAATTAACATTACAGATCAGTACTAACCGTAATTACAACTAAAGATATAAACCAACCCTCTAAAATATGAAGGAGTTAAGTAAATGATATAACATACAATTAAATTATGATAGATAAATATACACATAAAAACATAAACAACAGCATTTCGCAGGAACGATCATGATTTAATTTACTTACACTCTTCTTCCTTTTCATCATCATACAATTCGTCGAAGGTATCATCCAAAGACGAATTCGTCTGATTATTTGATGATGACTGACTTGAACGATAACGACCAGATTTCGTTATAGGCACAGTTGGATTTGAATGCATGCTTAGAATGGTATTACTAAAAGACAAAAGTGAGGTCTTTAAATGAAGGAATGGAGAGAAAAAGTACATGGAAACACTGTAGTCTGTGTGAATGCATAACAATAAAAAAGCCTATATAGTAGCAACCATGTAATTTGAGTTTAAGATATTCGACTGCCAAAACTGCTAACGGACCATTTCATTTTATTTGAACAACAAACTAATGTTACTATTATTGATAAAAAATCCGAGGCCCAAAGACAAGAACATGAACTACTTGGTTGTCGAGTTGCAAGATAGGAATTTATAAAACCGTGCGATTATTCATAATAATGAAACTACTACTATTTATACTATACAACAATAAGCTTATATACGTCTAGCAGCATCTTGAATACAATCGTAAGGCAATGACTTTGATTATTTAAGGTAGATAAATTATCTGAGACGATTTTCAAATGGAATTGTATTAATATGAGCAATATCAAACATACCAGTAGCACACATCTACAAAAAGTAATCACAGTAATTTTGTACCAACGTAATCAAACTATCAAATATATATTAAGAAAAAATCGAAAATAATATGGAATAAGATATTACGCAATTGAAGAACACAAATTCTGTTCGTACAGAAATCTCACAGGTACACTGGCATTAGTACAATATGTTATGCTCGTGCGTGAACGTACATACACGCGAGTACAAACAAACTTATGACGCCTAAACGTCTACAAGCACCTCGAGAAAATGTTGAGTTGTAGTACGTAAAATAATTAAAAACTCATCGTTATATATAGTATCGTCTTGTATCTAAATCGATAATTAATGTAATATCATTCATGAAAATATTTTAGTCATTAAATTTTGTGAGTCCATATCTTTATTCCTAAAAAAAGACAGCATTTCATTGTTGTCAGTAATTATGAAACAATTAACAACAGCATTGTTGCGATTATATCCAATCATCAGCAACCAAGAAGAAATAGAATGTGAAGGTCATACTCAAATGATCTTTTGGCAATCAGAATAAGTTTTAACTTTTAATACGAGATTAATTAACACTTCAATTTATACTGCCTACGATAGCGTTTACTCTATTAAAAGGTTGGGTTTGATTATTAAAGAACTTCAATGTTGACTAGTTAGTGATAATTTGAAATTCTGTAGGAGAACTTGTGACACACACACAAATTAGCGAGTAGGAAAAAATTAAGATCCTAATACGTAACCCAGTAAAGTCTTTTACATAATATAATAACTAGTCCTACTGAAAACCCATCTAAAACGAATGGTGATAAATCATGCTACCCCAGAAAAATGTAAACATGGCGTCAGCTGTTTACAAATCTATACAAAGTTGAATGAGGTCCCCATCAGCCACTTATCCACAACGCACAACCTGGTACATATATGCATCGTGTCAATTTGCCGCATCACGTCAGTATGTCGAGAAGCCAAATTAGTAGGAGTAGTAGCAATGCTAATGGTATTAAGAATTATGCATGGAAAATATGATTCAAGGATCACTGGATTTGTAGAACAAAAATTAAAACAAATAATAATTTAAGGTATTTCAGAAACATACTGTTCAAATGAAGGTAGAGTGAATGAGTCTTTATTATTTATGACTGATTCTCAGCCATGTCACACCCAAAGTCTTCTAGCAATGGTCACGATAAGCGCGCGGACCCCAATAAAGTGGTCTGAGCTTATTTGCACGGCTCCGTCAATGAATTCATGGACTGATATCACGCTTTGAGTTCGGCAGTCCCTAGCAACCTACCCCTATATAGTACATCGACGCAAACAGTAGTTGGACATGCATAGTACATGTCTCAACTACCGCAATCGATCAAGTCAAGATATACAACCTAATCAATAGATTTTCATAAAGCATTAGTCATTAATAATTAAATAAATAAATATACTTTTATTATTTCGATAGAATACAATAATTCTATTATGATCACAACTTCATTTCATTCTTCAACAGACGCATATGACGACGAAAATTGGTGGGACCTTTGAACCAATAAAAACTACTTTGCGAGTTAGCGTTCGTTACGATTCAATACATTTAATATTTACTTCAGGCAGTAAATTAAAAAAGTTGGGATATTTTAACTTTCAACTCTTCAATAAATAAGAACTGACATAGTAGTTAGATTCAAATCATACCCATTCACTGATGAAGTCTTTATGAAGACGACAATTCAGTGTCCAAACTGGAAAAACCGGAGTTCAATACACAGAATCTCCACTTACTATAAATCTCATGCTAAATTTTATCAATTAGTTTCACTATTTTGAGATAAGATATGTACATAATAAACCTAAAAGGAACTGAAATTAAAGCTAACGGAATATTCTGAAATTATCCGTATTTGAAAGTATTACATACTGTCAACGTGAGTAGCAACAAACACATAAAACTACTATGTTAGGACTTAGCTAATTAGACCAATTCATAGAAAAAAATAACCACAGAGTTCGGATGAATTATTACATACTCCTTGACAGGTTGTGGAGAATTTGTAATTGCGCAGTTGACAGAAATATCTTCTTGAGTATCAAAGAATTCTTCATCCTCTTCTTCTTGATCCAATTGAGCCTGATCATCATCTGAAGAAGAATAAGACCTAACTGGCATTCTTGGGATGGACAATGGTGGATAATTAGAAGAGGGTGAATCTAATGCATCAAAGCATCTTTTCACAATCACAGTATCATTAGGGAGTGATGAAGAAATAGTAGCTAGCTGGTCAGGATGTGAACGTATTGAATGGGATTCGATGGATGATTCTGTAGTAGAAGATGGCCGCTTGTGTAATTTGCCTTTTTCCAAACGTCGAGAATTACGAGTAGAATGTTTTCTGGAAGGTTTCTGTGTTATAATAGGGGAAGCATTAGACAAGGACTCTTGACAAGAAGTGAATGGATTTTCACCATCACCTTCACCACTTTGAAGGTTCATAAATGTATGATTTACCTCATGTACTTTTAAATCATAATCTGAAAGAGAAGTAAAAATAAAAATGATAAAAAATACATATGAGTTATTCAAACTATGACTTTACAATAATAATGAACAATTAGTAAACAAAGTTGACTCTTAAAAAATGTATCTACAACTGTACAAGTGAAATCAGAAGTTTAGAAATGCACTTCTGATGATTTGAAGCAATAATCAGCAAAGTAGTTTGCCAAGACAGAAGGTAAGTACAAACATTACATTTTATTTAGTGACAAGGGTTGGAAGACCGAATTAAAGAATATAACAGTTCAAAGTCACGTGAAAGTGCTTTCGTCTATTTGTATAATCACAGGACATCTGCAACAAGCCTCGATCGTGAAAACAAAATATCATACACTAAAATTACACTACATGATATAAATAATTGCCATTTATTAGGATAGAAAACACCACTGAATTAAATTCATAGCTAGGTAAATAGCAGGACTGACTTAGAAAAAATTTGACGACGCAACTATATGACATTTTAATATAAGCATATTTCTGCTAAGATTTTAGACACTTTGGATGGAGACAATATTTGTTATTTGTTAAAGGTCAAAGGTTAACTAAATTGTAAGTAACTTCTTTGTAAATAATCTAGTTAGATACATTCGGTTCCCCTTTATGAATTTGAATAAAGCAAAATAATATGAATTTATTTTACTTTATGTCTCCCCTTCAGTTGCTTACGACCGTATTCGTATCAAAGTGTAACATTGAAATATTATAATACAATAAAAAGTAATAGAGATTGGTGACGGAAAGAATCGGAATAACAACGATTATCAGTAATAACTATATATATGCCTTTATAATGAGAGTAAGTCTTACAAATTTGATTAACATTGAGAAATTAAATTAAAGAGAATAAACACATATTCGACCTAATCTATGAATGAAATAAATAACACTTTAGAACAATGGGATATACCTTTCACTTTCAATGTAGAGAAAGCACTGTTTGATATAGACGTATCGAATTGTAAAGTTTGCGGAATGTCAACTGCATCAGAAACAATGTTGTCATTCAAAGTAATCGGTATACGATATGAACTATTGACTGAACCCTAAAGTGTATACAGAAAGATATATTTTTAAGATGAGAAAGATACTGTTTTGAGATTCAAATGCAAAAAATTTATTTCCATATTAATCAAGGTAAGTTGCTAAATCAAAAACTTAAAAGCATAAATAATAGTTAAAAGAAAAGTAAGTTTATCAAAATGTCACTTAATTCTATTTGATTTATATTAATGAATTATCGATATTTCATTAAAAATAAACAATATCCTTGTCATGTATCTTATTATATTAGTTCAACAAACCAATTAGCTGAACAAGGTAACTTCTGTATCAATCCCGCTAGCGATGAGTTCATTTTGTGACTATTTAGGATATACTGACAGCAATGTAGAAATCTAGAATTTACTCGGTGATTTGAAAAATAATGATAATAATAAAACATATATGGGAAAAATTAAGCGACCTAGGCATACAAAAAAGGTACCGAGCATGTAACTCATCTAATTTGAATGATGCAACCTTAAAAAGCATAGACCCTACAAAATCAAGTATGGACAAGTAATATTGTTTTATCAAAATATTTATCAAACAACAAGTACTGCAAAGATAGATTCAAAAACAATACAAAACAATTACTAAGTTAATAACATACTGTGAAAATGATACCCCGATTTACAGCCATAATGAAGTTCATACAAAATTAGAGACAACATGGAAAAATAAGAATAGATTATATGAACAGGGCTTTGATACTGCTCGGGCGCCCAGACCGAAGCAGGTGGTTTTCTTAGGGAGCCACACCCCGAGCCTTTGACCTAAAAGTCTAACCCACAAGGCAGTGAAGCATCGTTAGGAGATGCAGTCACATGGTAGCCGGCGACCAACGATTGGTTCTTATTCTATTTGTTCCCTCAGCGTACAGGAGCCTATGTGCACCATTGATTTGGGATCCGGTTAAAGAGCTGGAAGCAGCAGCTGCATCTGATAACTGCCGGAAGCTCTTCCAATTCATCCGAGTCACTAGAAGCAAAAACTCTGGTGTGAGCGAAACAATCTGTGAGGATGACGAGAAACCAATCACTAACAATAGCGTCGGTGAGAGCAGTTTTGCTCTATGCTTGTGAAACCTGGCCCTCGGAGTTGAGAATGTTATACGACTCTGTGTTTGATCATCGTTGTCTCCAAAGGATTGTTGACAGCCAGTGACAACACCATGTCAGTAATGCAGAAGTTCGGCATCGTGTGTTCGGGCACAGAGACGATAATTCAATTGGTGTCACCATCTTGAAACATCGACTTCGGTGGCTTGGACATGTTCTCCGAATGTCGTCCCGGAGAATTCCACGTCGTGCATTATTTGCCGACTCTGGGACTGGTTGGAAAAAGCGGAGAGGTGGTCAGTGGATGATATGGTGTTGTGGTATGAAAGAAAGCTGCAAAGAGATGACTCCTGTTGGTCCTTCACGACTCCATGGCTGGGGTCCGAGAGGTGATGCAACACAGTGGCTAGAGACGTAATCAGATATGGCTCAGAATAGAAGCCAGTGGCTATCCTGCTGTAACCTTCTTTTACTTTCTTCATAAAAAGTGGTTGTATCTTCCTTAACTAAAAGATTTCTTCTGATTGTACAATCGGAACTAATTTGTTCATAACCTATAACACAAAAGTTAATTTAATGGGGCGAGAGAAAACTTAGTATAGCGCACAACAAAGTTTTTTTTAGCATAATACAGTACTACTAATAATAATAAGTTAAACATTATAATTAAAGGATTCTTTCCTATTTACACTATCAAATAAGTATTCATATCCTAAACTGAGATGTTAAAAAGTGATTAATATCATAATCCAGACAGATTTCGTGGGGAGAAAATGAAATGGAATGTGATTTGTTATGAAAAAATAGTGAGACAATGACACCTATTATATATTACAGTGCAGAAAGCTTTCGGACTGTGACAAGTGACAGATATCGTGATTAAAATACTTGAAAGATGAATTCACCTAAACAATAATCTAAATTGTAACTTGACCATTGAATGTTAAAACAGGGTTTTCCGAATTAAAACTTTTAAAAAATAATCTCGGCAAGGGAAATACTATGAATAATTCATACAATGGGTAAACTTAAACGAAAAGAAAACCGTCAAGTAACGAAACTACGTGTAACAAATAGTTCCATAAAAAAATGTAAACAAAGAATACAATGAACATCCAAGCTGTGAATTGAAGCCATCATGTATTCTTACATGCAATTAGCTACATTAATCAAGTAAATGAGATATATGCCTATGATGAGTGGACAAACCAAACAATTATTTCCAAGAATTAATAAAGTGTTAGAAAAAAATCTTTTAAAAGACTAAAACGCACCAGAATAAATAACCAGTTACACATTTGTACACTTAATTATTGAGTATATTACATTCAGTCGATGACTTTTCAATACTAGGAAGTCTTAGTTTGTAGAATCGAAACTAAAGTAGGAATGAAAAATAACTTTTCATGTATTGTACACGAATGATAGAAAAAAGATAATACAGGAGATTTAATTCAGTCATTTGAAAACAACTTAAATCCAGAAGTTCGCGAATAAGAACAGATTTATTAGATCGACCCTAAGAATACATAGATATACCATCATTACACAATAATCACTATTTCTAAATAATAATTAAACGGTGACAAAACTATACTAATTACAGAAAAAGAATAACTGACGAAATACAGAGTATCACTGTAGACGTAGAAGCAAAATGAATCTTCAGCATTAATCAAATGACCTTTCAATTAGGTATGGATTGAATATATAACCACGATACAACCCTAATAGATTGTACACCAACCAACAATTAACTCCGAATACTAACCGATACAATTATTTACTGTAACCACTTATGGTAAAATACGATCCTGTTAACAGAAGTATACGAAATGTCCTCCTTATTGCGTCACCCTGATAAGTTCAAAACAAAAACATAAAACAAAGATAAGAGCATCACTGAAACCATGAGTAGAGTACACGTATTTAAATACTATATATATATATATATATATATATATATATATATATATATATATATATATATATATATAGAAAGTGCAAATTTCCTTATACAACCAGCTATTGATGGCTTTCATAGACTAGTGTCAGTTAGATATTGATGCAGTGCTCAAGCAAAGATATTTTTCAACGTACATGTATTTAAGCAAATATTCCAAGCCAAAATAGGTGACAGCATTGCATGAGTAAACAAAGATCGAAAATTACTTAATAGTCACAAATGAACTAACTGGAACAACTGGCTAGACGCTTAAAGTTGAATAAAAAACTGGAAGTAGTTAGTTTTTTTAAATCTCTGCGAAACCTGTTACAAGGTACATTCATACTGAACAACGAAATCTATTCACAAATATTAAATACTGAATCAAACTGTCATCAACTAAGTACACGTAAGCAAACGGTTCACCAGTAAGTACAATAATAGATTTTTAATAAACGTAAAACATTTACATAAAACTGCGAAAGGAAGCTGAAGACATGAAAAGGATGAATAGAAATTGGAAAGGACTGCCTAGGACTAGGTTGGATGGAGAGAGTCGGTGGGTGGCCTATGCTCCTCCAGAAGAGGTAACAGGGGCAATTAAGTAAGTGAAAGGAAGTTGCATGATTCTTGAACAGTAGAAATATAACCATATTAATGCTGCAACCAACCCCTTCCGAGAGTTCGGTGAACATTTATCGAAAACATAAGAAACATGGTTATTAATTTTAGCCATTTATATTTAGCTAACAAACTATAGAGATAAGCTAAATATGAGGCAAAACAACATCGCACACAGTATACATATATTAACAACAGAACTAGACGCGTTATATAAAGAATTAAGACACGTTATAAAACACACCGAATAGTAATTAATAAAGCAAGCACAACGGAGAAACGTAAGTATACTAAAGTAAATTATAAGAAATATGAGTGAACCACACTATAATCAGACCACAGAATGTTAGTAATTCTCAGAGATGAAGCTAAATACATGAGACGCTAGTTCACAACCCAGGATATCAAAATTGATGTATTTGGTAAAATCGGTAAGGACATAAAAAAAACTGCACGCAAAAACACCGAAGTATTTAAATGATAACTAGTTTAGCAAAATATTGTGGACTGTGCTACTGATGTCGATAGATATAAGTAGTATGAATCATCAATCGAAAGTGAAGTGTCTGGAAGCAGAAGGTTAGAAAGATCGAAGAAAAGAAAACCAGAACAGTAAATGTTTGTTGTGGAAATGAAGGAACAGTGAAGTCTGAGACGATTGATTGACGTTTACAAAGGTAACAGTTAAATTTGAGATAACTGATTGACGTTATGCAAATTAACTATTTACTGTATGGCTCTCAGACTTTACCAAGATGTCCTGTAATTTTGTATTCAAATACATCTGGTTGAACCTACTTGTGTTCTAGTTCACCACAATATAATAAAACAATCTTTAACAAATAAATTTATCAACATAACACTGTCAATCTTTTCTTATGCAATTAGTGTAAATTTTATGCCATTAGTTAACAAATATGAGATATTTTTAGGTCCCAATACAAAAGTGGTCGTACGCTAACAATCTCCTCAAATCGCCAAAACCTTAGAATAGAAAAGGTAGGGAATATTATAGAAAATCCATTAGTCAAATTGAAAACAAATTTCTCAATAAATATGTGGTGTATATCACACAACTAAAAAACACCCATCAATTGTAATACTAAAATAAAACTGATTTGTGAGATTATTAATTATAATCAAAATTATTGAATTAATCTTAGGAAATGAGGCAATAGCAGACAGTCACGATTATGCCATACCTCAAATTAGCACAGCGAAGAAGCAAGAAAACAAGACAGGGAAAGGAGAGTACTTAAGTTCAACTCCAATGAATGCTGAAACATGAGGGAAACTGTTAAAAGAAATAAGACTGAAGAGTGAAGAATCAGGAAACAAATTTAACACAAAACTTAGACGAATAGAGATGAGTGTAACTGCATCACTGTGACTGGTTTTGTGCCATGTCGCCAAAAACCCCCAATGAATGATTCAGATTATTGAGTGGACGCTAACCAAAACAGTGCAGATCAAGATAGGCGGCAGTTACACACGTAAAACATGCTCTAATCATTCCAATGGATTAAAATTTATAGACTCATTATTGAAATTGAAAATTTATGATCCAGAAAGTGAACTCTGTACATATTTTCTACTTTTCTAGACTACATTTTATAGTCATACATTGAAACAAGGCGGAGTGTTTTATAGTATATTCAGAGCTTGGTTGGCAAGCTGACGTCTCTTCCGTAACACAGATAGCGAAAGAAAGCAAGAGCTATGGGAGCCTTCTATACAACTTCAGAGATTTTGTCAGATAGTAACCTAACAGCTTTGATGAAAATCCCAAGATAAGTGAAGTGATTATCACCCTCATTTCCTAAGGTAAAACCAGCAATGATGCAGATCAAATAGAAAGTAACATCTCATGTTGATAAGAAGATATAAATATCTTGTCAGCCTCGTACATAAACCAAATCCAAGGATTCCAATAATCGAAGAGACATAGAAACGAGAATGTAGACCGTCAGTAAATTTGAAGCCAACACAAAATATTGCTCAGTCACGATTGATATTAGTATGTTTCGGAAACAAATTTCAATTCATATTAATTTATGGGCTATTATCATTAATATTCAACTTACTCTGGCAAACTGGAGGCATACAATTGTCTTTTTCACCAGTTCGATAAGCCTCTGTAAAGATTGAAAAATGAAAACAAAACACCGGTAAGCATGATCAATGAGACAGTTTATTACAAAATATGTAAGTAATAAGTGATGAAAGGAGAAAGGCAGGGAGGAAAGGTGGTAGGAAGTTAAAACATTAGTCATTTCAATTTAGTATACTGCTACACACACCAGATGAAGACAAAGTGTTTAGCTTGCTCTTCTGAAATACTTATTTAAACTTTCACAGTATTAGTGCTACAGTGATTATTTTGATTCCTTTACTATTTATTGTATTTATTTTATTTCATCATTTTGATGTGGCATGGCAGTGAGGGCGGTTATCACTTCCCGGTTGCCCACACCGTGGAAGGGTTGTTCTGGAGGTACCTGAAAAGGAAATTGGATTAGAGGTGGTCTTAATTACCTGAGAGCGTGACCACAATGCCCAAGGGACAATTGCTTGAGGTCAGTCACACACGACCTTTTTTCGAGTAATTTTCGTGTTAGCTCCGTACTTGTCGAGACCTTACCGCCGGAGACGGATATCCGTGGGATAAGGCGAGGTGTGCATTTTTAGGGTCTACCTTCTCTTACCCCACTCCTCCTCGTGGGAAGACAGCGTCGCTGTCATGCTGGTTGTCTGAAGGAAACACCTTACTGCTGTCACACCTCTGTACAGTCAGCAGTACGACTTCGCCTTCGGACCTTGGGTTTGCTGCTTTTAGTCTTACCGTTCTTCAACAGACCTGTCTGGCATGGTAGGACCTTGATGAACGATTGTTCCAGCCAGTATAACCCATCTGGTTCATCACGATAAGCAAGCATGACCACCATATCAAGATAGCAGCAACGGTCGGGTCATGAAATCTAACGTAAAATTGTCCCAGGTTCTACAACGATAATGACTAACTGACTTTTGAAACATTTGAATCTGAAAGTGTTGAAATATCGGATAAAGAAAACAAAAAGGAGCATGTCACTCAAGTCATTAACCAATCCATGGACATATTTTGACAGACTTGATATACTATGCAATGAAAATAGTAATGGTCAAACACGAGGCCAGAGAATAATACAAGAGTATAGACAATAAACACATATGTGCAAATATTGACAGCATAATTAGTATAAACAACTTAACGCATTTTAAGTGGACAGGAGAAACTGTTAGCTAGGTATGGAAAAGCTAGTAAATCAATTATCTTTCCAAGTTCATGATGACGATGCGATGTATCAACATAAAGAAAACCAACACAAATGAAAGAGCCAACTAAGAGAACAAAGGGCCAATAATATGAAACATAGTAGTCATATAACATAACTAATTAGGAATTACTATTTGAATAACTGAAATAAAACAGAGTTGATCAACAAAACTTCCATTAATTGAGTAATCTGTACTTTAATTTCCCCAAATCAAAACAGTAATGATGTTTTGTGTTACGATAAGAATTTTCCTAATCGTCGCATGAATCTTATTTGAAATTAGCATATGCGATTTCCTAAAACCATTTACTGATGAAAATCTAAATAAATAAATAATCTTAAGTAAGAAGCAAGGTAATCATGACTGTGCAGTATTATTACTAGTCCTAAACAAATGAAAGTGGAGTACAAAAATGAACATGTCTACGCCTAACATAAATATGTACCTTTGTTATTATTCCTTTTTCTTTCTGCCAAATAATATGGCATCAAACAGAGTTATTCTGATTGACAACCATGATCGGTAAAACATTATAACCCAACAGGTACAGTTAAAATCCTTAAAGATAATGAGACAGAAACCAACAGACACCTTCAAATATGGCAGTTAAAATACATGTTAATTAAAAATATCAGTCAGCAAATTCATGATTCTTTCCAACCAATAGGCTAAAAAGTCAATTAACATAAGTTATTACCAACTATTTATTGTAAAATTAATAGGGGTTTCCTCTACCTGACTACTAATATTACAATTGAAGCAAACAGTTTGCGACGAATTACGTGTCAATAGCTGACCAAATAGCTTGTGGTAATGTTTCGGACTTGGGAATTTTGAGAGGTGAGTATGAATACGACGAGTAGCTATAACCACAAGGTCGCAGGTAGATCTTGATGAATTATGCCAACCCGTAGACTACGTCCAGGGTTTTATGTTGACTAGTTCCGACCACCCATTTTGTCGAAATATCAAAAAATTCGAACTGTATACCATAAATGCATACGTATGTGTTTGTCATGAGCATAAACGAAAATTTGCGACACGAAAGATCGATGGACAGAAAATCGATTTGCCTTTAGTGTCTACCAGTCAATCAATTTAAAACTCAGATAATAAAAAAACATAAACATTATCAAAATATCACTATAACGAGGTGTAAAATAGAAACATGATTATTACGAGTTCACATAAAACCCAAGGAACATTGAACAGGACATACATTAATATTAAACATTTTATGAGTCTAATAAAAACTTTCTTAACTGCCTGAGTACAGTGATAAAGTCAATAAGGGTTGAGAAGTACCTGATATCATATAAATGTTAATGAGATATTATGCAAAGGATCGATGATTTTGTTTGCTGATTAAAAAGGTGAGTTGAAAAAGAACTGTAACATTAAAAAACACTGAAAATGAGTAAAAAACAAAAATTCTCGGAAATAATCTTTCGAGGTACACTGTTTATCATGAAGAGTTACTAAACAGACAAAAATTATCAATACCAAAGTAAACACAAAATATCATTGCGACAGAAAACCGTCAATCAAACAAGTGGATTTACATCACATGATCAGTTATCAAAATTATTTATTTATTTTTAAAGGAAAAACCCGTAATATATACACTAAGTTGTTGTTTAACAGTTTGAAAGTGATTCTCCTTGGTAATGATCAAATTTCTTTTTTAGAAAGTTTGCATGTGACCCCTTATAAAAGCCAGTATAAGGTATTGTGTATACAATTCGAAAATTCATTACTACACACAAAACAGTAGCTAACTCAATCTATCTGAGAACTAAACAATGCAAAATAAATACAGATTTGTTAAGTTCAGTGATTTATCACCATCCAACTGTAATCTCAATAAAATACTGCTGCATCTATGCGCCTAGAAAATCACATAATCCAAATATGAGTAGTTAAGAACGTCTTAATATATATATATATATATATATCCTTGGGTTGACTGCCTTTTCTGTAAGGTATATCAAAGAAAACTATCCATAGGACAATAGCATACAGACCGACCGATAAAGTACAAGCCGTTCCAAACAATTTGTGTATTTTGAAGAAATTTGAACAGTATGGTCCAAATATTTGAACGAGTTACGATACTTTGTGGATTATCTTGAGTTTTAAATGCTAAAATACTCTTTGTTCGGTCGATCAAAGTTTAATTGATCATGAAGGAGAAAATGTAACGAATAGAGGAAAGCAAAGAAATTATGTTAGTTCACTATTATATAAGATAGAAATTTAATGAATGATAACACAACCCACTGAATGCAAGGGGAAATGAAAGTTGGTTTTGAAACATCTGTATAAATCTTATTCTTAAAATGTCAATATTTATTTTAACTGTCAATGTAGAACTGGTATAAAAGCAGATGAATTATTCCATACATGGAAAGATGTATATTGCGTTACGATTTACTTTATCTGAAGCAAAAGTAGGATGGAAGAAACTATAAGGTAATTACATTGAAATATCGCATTTACGCTAATCTGAATTATGATCTTCATAGCTATTAGACCAATGCAATGTTATGGTATTTATAGCAGTTAGTACAGATGAACGTCTGAAGTTATAAAACAAACAGATGTATTTATCATCGTGTGATTAAACATAAACACACATTAATTTTAGCCAATCATGTCTATTTTAAGGTTTCGCCAAATAAATTTCTAGGTCTAGGTCTAAGGTCATCCCTAAGCAATACTACCAACCAATAAGATAGTGACATGATTCAAACTCAATGTGCATTTACCAATTTACCTGCTCTTGTAGAGCTAGGTATATAGGTCGTTCGATGCGTATTTTATCCAAAAGAATTCAAGAACATTGTCCGGCGTGGCTAAAAAGAGGAGGCAATGGCTCAATAAGAAGTTTTATAATCGAACACCTTGTGAACACAGGTCACTCAATCAAGACAGACCTTGCGTCCAAAGTCATCTACAAGGTAAGTAGAAGCCTTCCTAAGACAATTAGACTGCATCTTCTTTGCATTGCCGAGGCAATAGCCTTACATTTTGAAAAACCAGAATTATGTGCACAAAAGAAACTGGTACAACGTCTTCTTCTACCATGGTCTTAATATATTAAAAAAAAATTTTTCTATTTCTTCATACTCTTGTTCCCTTACAGCCACCTGCTTCACATTCCATCTCCCCTTCAAATTTTCTACCCCCAACCGGTTTGTTTTTATTTCCACGATCATTCCGATCACATTTCATCTCTGTTTCAACATTTTATTTTATCATGCTGAGCCTTCCTTTCCCAACGATAATTTCCCTATCTATCCTTTGATGAATACTTAAGCCATTAACAATCAAACGATTATTAAACTTCCCGTGTTTTAAAAAAAATTTTAATACCTTTGTTTACTTAACTTCACTGTCACCATGTATAACTGAAGTTTATTATCAGTATTATTATCATCCTGTAAAAATAAGTATATATATTTGCGATTGCACAACTTTGAAAAAGAATTCACCGAAAAAAGAACCCTTCGCTGAACTAATCTTTCTTTCTTATATAAAAAAGACATCAAAAAGATGATGTCTACAACTTTTCCTTATGCATTTCACTCATAGAAGTGGTAGAGAATATAACTAATGACTGGATACTTGTTGTCAGACACTATTTGCACGAAAAATAATATACACTCATCCTCACACGTCGTCGATCACAAGACTTTTGAATTGCACAACTACCTAGTGATAAATAATGAAAAGTCTATTTAATTAACTCTTTATTTGACTACGATAGAAAAGTATTTCGCACTCCTTCATATACTTTTCAGGAAGAATTGTAAAG